ATCGATTGGTCTGAATTGCATGCGCTAAAGAGATTTTTGACATGTGCGGTACTGGAGGGCTTTTTGCAGAGAAGCTCATGTCAACCTGACTAAGTCTTAACAAATTAACAAATTAGTTTCTCGGTAGGATTAAGTGAGAAGAGTCACGGTCGTACAGTGATATAGCAAAGTACGGTAGTTTATCGTGGTAAGAAAATACAGAACATGCTTCGCATTTTGAGACTGAATAAAACCAACAACATCTGAATCTGCCATAATAAGTGGCTGAAATACATCATGACAACGACTTCTCCAGTTGGGACTAATTTGATCATGCGACAGAAACCGGAGATAAGCAGCGGTCTGACGAGCCCATGCAGACCTCACTTTACTTGATCACAAAAAATTTATAAACCCATAGAGTTATCCTTTTCAAAGGGAACGGTAATTTTGTGATAGTAACTGCTAAGCACTTGTTTGACTTTTTCACTCCATTGTTGCTGCTGATGATATTGTCATTGTTTCTCGGCCACTAGCATTATTCTGTATATTGCATAGTCTTTCAGGACTCTCATTGTATACCTGGTAGCCTTCCTGACAGCTTAACCAAACTTTACGAGCTCTACGATGACGTCGAAACGTTTGTTATGTTTATTGGATACCCAAGAAGTTCACACAGTCTGGTAGGATCAATATTAGACGCACATCCAGAAATCATCATTCCCCATGAGTATCACATCGTTGAGCAGTGGAGCATCTACCAAGACGACGCCCTAAGAAACTCCGGCATGCAAAAATACGTTCTCTTTTATAATTTGCACTCACTTTCCACATGGCAGGCCTCTTTCGGGAGTAGAGCTAGAAAACCTGTTTTTCTTGACGATGGAATCTATTCTTACAATGTTCCTGGGACGTGGCAAGGAAGTTTTAATGGTAAACTGAAGGTGAGTGCAGGTGGGTTGTTAAACCATTTGAGTAATAGGTGCGCAGATCTCAGCCTAGTTCTAGGTTCATTGTGAGCGAATGATACTAAATGATAAGATAAAAGCGTTTATGAAAAATGATAGGTGGTCTGCAGCTGACGTTGTTAGATATGGACCATGCTCTCTGTGAAGACCAATTTGGATTGTTATGACGGGTGCTAGTGCATCGGTGATAACTCTCAGCATTTATCAGGTTACGGTGACGGTTCTCCCATATTTTTACATATGTGAAAAGAACAACCGTACACGTAGAGTACCTTACCCACAAACACAGGGTGCGAATCCGGACCGCGCAAATCACATTCCAGCAGGCTAACTATTAAGACACCGCGTCTCACACACTTTTTTTGTTTAAGCATCTATATCAAATCCGTCCTCTATATAAAAACCCGATCTCTGCCTCTTTTGGCAGGTCATCGGAGACAAGAAAGGAGGTGGAACAACCATGGAGCTGACTGAAAAACCTGAAAAGTTTGCGATTCTTACAGAACTCAACGAGACTCTTGACATCCCTTTAAAGTTTCTGCATGTCATTAGAAATCCTTTCGACGTCATCTCGACTTGGGTTTTGAGGCTCTTTAACGTAAGACGCCAAGTAAATGATGGAAAAACTCAGGTACTTATCCAATACACTGAAACTGCTTTCGACGCTTGAAATAAGAACTGACAAGTGGCCCAATATTGTTTTCGTCTCATAAATAATTTATTTAGTTCATAAAACTTATTGCTTAGTGAAAAGCTAGCGCGTCATTAACTGACAACAATGTTTTAACAACAGGTAATACTTCGTATGTACCTATCTATTTACGCAATCCTTGAATTGTTGATTTCCGAGTGCCTATAGCTAGTTTTTGGGTAGGGACGTCACGGAAGACATATCAGGGTCTACAAATATACTTCACTGACACATCTCTCTTGATTATCAGCGACTACAGTAAAACTCCGCATATAATAACCTAGAATTTCCGAGGTCAGAGTGAACAGGTTCTTATATTTTAGGGTAATTTTTCACAATTCAGGCTGATTAGGTTCTTAATAGGTTCTTGTTTTTTAGAGGTTGTATGTATTTTCTTTTATTCCACATGGACAAAACTGAGTGGTCGCTAACTGCATGGCTCAGGAGATAAAACAATCAAGGTCCAAGGAAAACCTCAATACATTTCCATATCTTATTTTACAAGATATTTAGATTTTAAATTGTCTATATTGCACTGTAGCTTTATGGCAAACATATTTCTAGTGAAAATCCAACACACAGTAAATCAGAGGAAACATATACACAAGAACTTTTTGTCAGAAATTGCTCACACGATTTTAAAAAGCCAGATTTAGACCATCAACATTGGAGTGATTCGTTTTTATAAGAACCTATTTTTTTTTTTTTTTTTTTTTTTGCCAGGCCGAACAGAGTCTTATATTTTTGGGTATTTAAATGCTAAATTTCAGCAGTGAGATTCAGTTTCAATAACGAAATCCTGAAGTCAGTTAAAATCTTTGGAGAATTTGAAACCATATTTGCAAAGCTGATACTTCTAGGTTTTTGATACAGTCCACGAGTGGTAGATATTTAAAAACTTGTAGTCCAAAAATTTATACCCTTGTGAACTAATATAATGGTTCACGAGTGGTATTTTTTTAAATACTTGTAGTCCAAAAATTTTTACCCTTTTGAACTAATATAGTGGTCCACGAGTGGTATTTTTTTAAATACTTGTAGTCCAATAATTTATACCGTTTTCCACTAACGAATAATTTTTACTTGTGTTCTTATCAATTTTCAGATAGACAAACCCGCAGCATTAGACAATGCCATAAAGTCCTTCTTTGAGCTTATCGAGACCAACGAAAGAATAAAACAGCTTTATGGCGATCAAGCAGTGTTGGACATTTTAAGCCATGAACTGATATTAAAACCGAGAGAAACAATGGAGACAATATGTTTATTTTTACGAGTCAAATGTAATGAGGATTACCTTCATCAAGCAGAAAACATCCTTTTTGGCAAACCATCGATAACAAGAACAACAGTGGTGTGGACTGAGGAACAAAAGCAAAGAGTTTACAATGAAATGAAGAAATACTCTTTCCTGCAATCGTTCAATTTTGATGAAACTTACTGATAACATCATGCACGGATATCGCAAACCAGTGAATTTTCCATGCAGTCTACTGTTCCATGGCCGAGGATTACTTGGACACGAAATATTCGAAAATATACACTAATTAATGCTGCGGTCATAATGATGATTTACGTTCTTTCAAAACACGGCCACATTACCTTACGTGGTTCACAAGTTGCGCTCTTGCTTATTTACTTTTTTGTAATAACGTCCAATTTTGGGACGGACGCTAAGCGTTATTTTCTTTAGTATAAAATCCTTTTGTTCTTAATAGCCTCTTAATTTGACTGAAGATCAATGTTATCTCAATGCGCAGTGGAGTAATAGTGACAACGGATTCTATAGAGGATGATACTGAGGGTATCCCAGGTGTGGGAAGGTCCTAGTTGCCTTGTTTTCATCACAAATGTGCTAATGTTCCCTGCCACCAAGTTGAAATTGACCCTGCTACCGTGGTCACCAACTAACCCTAACCCTAAACCCTCGATAAAACCGCAAAAAGCTCCAAACTTAAAATCTAACTTATCATTTTCCTAAAGATTTAAATGTTAAGAATGTTAAGAGTAACATTTTTAATAATAATAACATTAATAACAATTACGAATGTGCAAAGCCGTTGTGGCAATAATTTAACCCTCAGTGTTAAATTCCAAAAGTGACTACGACAAAAAGAAGTTAGTAAATCGAAATGAAACAGCGAAGCGCAAAAAAATTTAATTTTTCAGTCGGATTGATTGAGTCTATGACAATTCACTGTGCATCTGAAAACTGTCATTTCATTGGCAGAACCATATAAATCGACGTGACAGGGTAACGGACTGGTAGTGACCCATGAAAAGAAGTGAAATGGTTTATTGTCGCTCTTAAACAGGTCTACGGTTATGGTGTCAGCTGTACTCTAATAAGAAGACTCCTTTCATTATTTTAAGTGAACAAGGATCAATACTAGCAATCAGTAATTCTACAGACATTTAAGTCAGGAACGAGCTTTTACAAGGCAGGTTGTATTCAATACAATAGATACGCTTAAGTAACAATATACAATGAAATGGATATAAACTCGATCTGATATTGATGCATAAATTGGCTTTTTCACAATCTTTCCCATTGTTGATACTTTTCGTTGGCATTCCTGTGCGATTTGGTCAAAACGCATAGATATAATGTATCTATTCGACAAAAGTTTTAAACTACTAGTTTAATTCAGTGAGTAAAGCTGGAAACATCGTCAAAGGTAAAAGATTGAAGGAAAGAGTACTTTGCCCCCTCGGTTGTAATCAAATCTCTGTCTTCTTTCCTCCATGCAACAAGATTTCGACTTCTTGTGGAATGACCATTCAATAGCCTTTCAACTTTATTAAGGTAGCTATCATAACACGTGACGTCTAGAAATATGCAGATCTTCCTTAGCGTTTCCCTTGAGTTAAAAATAAGTTGGTCGCTAGAGATGTCCAAGACTGCATTGCCGTATAACTTTCTTATTCGTTCGTTGGTCTCCGCAACGGTAAAGAAGTTTTGTACGGCATTGCGAACTGCTCCGGTGTCGTTTATCTGAAAACGAAATAAGAATCAATATTCGTTAGTTGAAAATAGTCTTTGAAATCATCAAGAGAGATATGCATAGCAGCTACAAAGATCCAAAGGTCTTTTAACCCATGTTCAAAGGTAGAACAACTGATATTGTCCTTTACTCGCACGTAGAGATCCTCTGTGAAAGCTGCTATTCTCAGGCAAATGCTTCATATGGCTACCATGTCTGTTTGCGACCGATCAAACCAACAAGGCTGTCACATGCTAAGCATTGAGTCTGTACATTTTATTTCACCTATGAGGAAAACCACTATCTATACTTAACATAGATTATCACTCGTTTCTTCGTCCGCTCCAGAACCCAGGTATTACATTAACCTTTCATAACTTTTTGCCTTACCTTTTTCTGGGGGTCAAACGGGTGACTAATTACACTGGAAGCAATGACATCGTATGGATTTGAAATAACGTGAATAAACTTGACTGGAACACCAACTACATTCTGGATGTCTTCAAGTACTTTAAAGGTTCCTGGTTTTTCCATCAGTTTCTTAGATGTTTCCCATCCGCTTCCATCTCCGAAAACCTGTCAATCCACGTGAAATGCAACATTTCAGTTGCTTTTCAAAGAAGCAAGTAATTATGAAACAAACCTATTCATGGTCACATTATGTAGTTCTAAGATTAAGTAATCATTTACGATAGGCCACGTTCGATATATCCGATATTCTAACATGGCGCCGAGGCTTTCAAGATAAAATCGTAAAATTTTCAAGTTTCTTTTGTCCCTCAACTCCCAAAAGAGACTTGGATGGAAAGAAAACACCACCAAATATAGACGTTTGTCTTGAAAGCCTCGGAGCCGTCTTAGAATATTGATATATCGAACGTAAACTATTGGGGACGATGCCAGTTGTAATAACATATTCACGCTTAGGTAACATAACATACTAAAATGGCTATAACCTCGATCTGATTCTGAGGTATTAAATGGCTTTTTCCACAATATTCCCGCTCTTTTGTGGCGACTAGCTGACCTTTTTAAATAAACAAAACATCAGAAATAACCAAAACGTTTATGGTCAAGCAAAATGATTTTAACTTGGTTCTTAAAGAGTGCTACTAGGGTTAAAACGTTCGTCACAACACGTTGATTTTTGGTCGTGTTATTGTTGTTGTTGTTGTTCTTGTAGGTTAGTCATCAATCAATAAGGCAGCCAATTGTTCACTCATAGCAGTTGGTCAAAACTACCCCGTTCTGTGAAAATGGGAAATTCTTTCGTTGTTCCCTTCACGTTTTTTTTCCTCGTGGAGGTTTTTCAATAGTTGCTCAGTCTTGCAAACTCATCTCAGCTGGAAAAATCATGCATCAACCAAGTTTGGTTATCTAACTTGAAAAGTAAGTAAATCGAGTGGCAAAATTGCTTAACCTTTAATTTTCCACTGATTGTTCCCTGCCATGCATCAGGAACAAAGTTATAGTGTATACCATTGCCTTTAGAAGTCCATAACCAGAATTGGCTCGGTTTATTGGCTTTGTTTCTGAAGACTGCTTGAAAAGTAGAAAGATAATGCATATCGAAAAACAACATATGCTTTTGCTGGCCAGAGTCTTGCAGGATTTTGTGCTGGAACATTTTCCAGTTCCCAATAACATCGTATTCTTGAGGAATAAGAATTTCGGGATGTGCGTCCAATATTGCTCCTGTAAGACTTTCTATGGTATGGGGGTATCCAATGAACATGACGAACGTTTTGACGTCATCGTACATTCGGTATAGTCTTTTAAGGCTCTCTGGTACACGTTCAGGATTACAGGAGCTCGTGTGGACTGTAAAAATTAAATAATAAAGGAACAGATATCAAGCTAAATCAACTTTCAAACGTTTTACTCTTCCAGGTTAAAGCCGTCCGAGTAATGTAGATCTCGTAAGTTTTGTTACTGTATTGAAAATCCAGTTTCCTACAAGAAAATAGCCTTGCAAAGCTCTTTTTTCTCAATTCTTAAAAGAAATCCTGACTTAATATCATAAAATATAGGTGTACTTTGCGAATGGGTTAATTGTAGTGCAATCTCTTGATAAAATGTACTCCAATCTTTCGTGGAAGGTGAATTCTTCCAAAGGATATTTCTTCTTGCTATTACTACCAAGATGGCGATTCCAAAGCAAGCAACGAGGGGTTTGAAAGAACACAAGCGAATTCCCGTCATGGTGTCGCAATAGGAATATTCTGTTAAGTGAAATGAAAAGAAAGGAGATTAGAAAAAAATGACAACAAAAGAACCGATGCGAATAATAAATCTATAAATCATTTCTGTTTACCATTTGCACAAACCAGTGACGAACCGGTTTCTCCGCGTAAAAGCTAAAACAACCATGTTTTAGTAGTGCCCATATTCGAAGATAAGACGAAAAAAATGTCTGGGTGCTTGAAAATATGAAATTTCCATCGTGCATGATACATCTAAGGTATTACCGAGTTTTGCTATCGATTAAGGCTGCATGTTGTGTCACAATACCCCTGGTCACATGGCCTGAGAATTATACATGCCATCGCAATTTAATCTGGGTCAGGCCAAGCGATAAAACACTAATGAATATCATCTACCACAACGTAAATCTTGTAAGGCTGTTATAACAAACTGTTAAGTTGGCGATTGAAGAAAAAAAACAAGCCGGGGCTGGGTTAGCCTGCGTTGCAGCCGGACGTGTCATAAAATCCCCGTTTTAGACTCTGCGGCGCAGGCTAGGGTTGGGTACATATCTGAACAAGCTGGGTATATATCTGAACCAAACAAAATCATAAATTATTCCTCTCGCATTCTTATTATTTTCATTTCTCTTCGGTTTACTACACCCACTGAATAAACAATGTCCCTTTTCCTTGAGCATAAAATGTTCCGAGTAGCGAATAGTTTTCAGGAAAAGTCACCTAAACATTTTTTTTCCAAAATATGTGACCTTTAACGACCAATCGTACGGGACTAAATTTCAACGCTTACATTATAAACGAGAATATTCAAATGTAGAGACTTTTGAAAAGGCACATAAATTACGTTGTTTACCGAACAAATCGTTGCCAACAACTGGACACATGGACTGAGGCAGACTTTTGAGAAGAATAACACCTCTGCTAAAACAATTGACCACTGAACGTAACTAATCGAGAAAGCGAAATTGTACATAGACTGTTTGAAAACGAAACATTAAATTAGAAAATTGAAAGACTCGGTGAATTTCGCTTAATGATCCAGAAACATCACGTCCGTGAAATAGATTAAGGTAAATATGTGGACAGCTTGCGTCTGCAGAACGCAAGCTGAACCACACTCCACTTTTCTCACAAACGCAAGCCGGCCATACAATTTCTCTAGTCTATTTAACGGACCTAAATTCATTCAAATTTAAGCCCGCTGAACGCAGATAAAATAATCTGACAGATCCATCTTATGTTCTTTGTTCTCAGTGGACACGCGAATTATTTAGCTTTCTGTAAGAATATTTAAGTGTACAAGACGAAACTCAGACACGAATAAACCAACGAAACCACCTTGCCTTTGAACGCTTGGACTTAATGTTCGTGAACACTCTTTGCAAAATGATCTAAAGGAAATAGTTTATCATAATTTTAACCCCAATGCAAAGAAACCCGAAATAACTGAGGAACAAATCTTGTGAAGCTGTGCACTATCCGGTAACAAGAAATAAACACGATAGGAATATTACACGCAGAACTACACTTTAACGACCAAAGCGGTTGCAAAGTAATGAAAAAATGTACTTACCACTTTCTCCGACGAGAAAATTGAAAGACCGAAATATGTAAGCTTTCGGCGACACTTAATGAGCCAGAGTAATCAATTTTTACACGATAAGAAACCATGTTTCTAGGATACTGTAAATAGCGTTGAAGCATGCATTCAGTCAAATAAGCTCCCATTGTGCTTCTCTTTTACAAAGGACAATGCTAAGAAAAAACTGTGGCTTGTTTTACTTCCGCCTTCCACAAACCAAAATCGGCCTNAAAATTTTTACCCTTTTGAACTAATATAGTGGTCCACGAGTGGTATTTTTTTAAATACTTGTAGTCCAAAAATTTATACCGTTTTCCACTAACGAATAATTTTTACTTGTGTTCTTATCAATTTTCAGATAGACAAACCCGCAGCATTAGACAATGCCATAAAGTCCTTCTTTGAGCTTATCGAGACCAACGAAAGAATAAAACAGCTTTATGGCGATCAAGCAGTGTTGGACATTTTAAGCCATGAACTGATATTAAAACCGAGAGAAACAATGGAGACAATATGTTTATTTTTACGAGTCAAATGTAATGAGGATTACCTTCATCAAGCAGAAAACATCCTTTTTGGCAAACCATCGATAACAAGAACAACAGTGGTGTGGACTGAGGAACAAAAGCAAAGAGTTTACAATGAAATGAAGAAATACTCTTTCCTGCAATCGTTCAATTTTGATGAAACTTACTGATAACATCATGCACGGATATCGCAAACCAGTGAATTTTCCATGCAGTCTACTGTTCCATGGCCGAGGATTACTTGGACACGAAATATTCGAAAATATACACTAATTAATGCTGCGGTCATAATGATGATTTACGTTCTTTCAAAACACGGCCACATTACCTTACGTGGTTCACAAGTTGCGCTCTTGCTTATTTACTTTTTTGTAATAACGTCCAATTTTGGGACGGACGCTAAGCGTTATTTTCTTTAGTATAAAATCCTTTTGTTCTTAATAGCCTCTTAATTTGACTGAAGATCAATGTTATCTCAATGCGCAGTGGAGTAATAGTGACAACGGATTCTATAGAGGATGATACTGAGGGTATCCCAGGTGTGGGAAGGTCCTAGTTGCCTTGTTTTCATCACAAATGTGCTAATGTTCCCTGCCACCAAGTTGAAATTGACCCTGCTACCGTGGTCACCAACTAACCCTAACCCTAAACCCTCGATAAAACCGCAAAAAGCTCCAAACTTAAAATCTAACTTATCATTTTCCTAAAGATTTAAATGTTAAGAATGTTAAGAGTAACATTTTTAATAATAATAACATTAATAACAATTACGAATGTGCAAAGCCGTTGTGGCAATAATTTAACCCTCAGTGTTAAATTCCAAAAGTGACTACGACAAAAAGAAGTTAGTAAATCGAAATGAAACAGCGAAGCGCAAAAAAATTTAATTTTTCAGTCGGATTGATTGAGTCTATGACAATTCACTGTGCATCTGAAAACTGTCATTTCATTGGCAGAACCATATAAATCGACGTGACAGGGTAACGGACTGGTAGTGACCCATGAAAAGAAGTGAAATGGTTTATTGTCGCTCTTAAACAGGTCTACGGTTATGGTGTCAGCTGTACTCTAATAAGAAGACTCCTTTCATTATTTTAAGTGAACAAGGATCAATACTAGCAATCAGTAATTCTACAGACATTTAAGTCAGGAACGAGCTTTTACAAGGCAGGTTGTATTCAATACAATAGATACGCTTAAGTAACAATATACAATGAAATGGATATAAACTCGATCTGATATTGATGCATAAATTGGCTTTTTCACAATCTTTCCCATTGTTGATACTTTTCGTTGGCATTCCTGTGCGATTTGGTCAAAACGCATAGATATAATGTATCTATTCGACAAAAGTTTTAAACTACTAGTTTAATTCAGTGAGTAAAGCTGGAAACATCGTCAAAGGTAAAAGATTGAAGGAAAGAGTACTTTGCCCCCTCGGTAGTAATCAAATCTCTGTCTTCTTTCCTCCATGCAACAAGATTTCGACTTCTTGTGGAATGACCATTCAATAGCCTTTCAACTTTATTAAGGTAGCTATCATAACACGTGACGTCTAGAAATATGCAGATCTTCCTTAGCGTTTCCCTTGAGTTAAAAATAAGTTGGTCGCTAGAGATGTCCAAGACTGCATTGCCGTATAACTTTCTTATTCGTTCGTTGGTCTCCGCAACGGTAAAGAAGTTTTGTACGGCATTGCGAACTGCTCCGGTGTCGTTTATCTGAAAACGAAATAAGAATCAATATTCGTTAGTTGAAAATAGTCTTTGAAATCATCAAGAGAGATATGCATAGCAGCTACAAAGATCCAAAGGTCTTTTAACCCATGTTCAAAGGTAGAACAACTGATATTGTCCTTTACTCGCACGTAGAGATCCTCTGTGAAAGCTGCTATTCTCAGGCAAATGCTTCATATGGCTACCATGTCTGTTTACGACCGATCAAACCAACAAGGCTGTCACATGCTAAGCATTGAGTCTGTACATTTTATTTCACCTATGAGGAAAACCACTATCTATACTTAACATAGATTATCACTCGTTTCTTCGTCCGCTCCAGAACCCAGGTATTACATTAACCTTTCATAACTTTTTGCCTTACCTTTTTCTGGGGGTCAAACGGGTGACTAATTACACTGGAAGCAATGACATCGTATGGATTTGAAATAACGTGAATAAACTTGACTGGAACACCAACTACATTCTGGATGTCTTCAAGTACTTTAAAGGTTCCTGGTTTTTCCATCAGTTTCTTAGATGTTTCCCATCCGCTTCCATCTCCGAAAACCTGTCAATCCACGTGAAATGCAACATTTCAGTTGCTTTTCAAAGAAGCAAGTAATTATGAAACAAACCTATTCATGGTCACATTATGTAGTTCTAAGATTAAGTAATCATTTACGATAGGCCACGTTCGATATATCCGATATTCTAACATGGCGCCGAGGCTTTCAAGATAAAATCGTAAAATTTTCAAGTTTCTTTTGTCCCTCAACTCCCAAAAGAGACTTGGATGGAAAGAAAACACCACCAAATATAGACGTTTGTCTTGAAAGCCTCGGAGCCGTCTTAGAATATTGATATATCGAACGTAAACTATTGGGGACGATGCCAGTTGTAATAACATATTCACGCTTAGGTAACATAACATACTAAAATGGCTATAACCTCGATCTGATTCTGAAGTATTAAATGGCTTTTTCCACAATATTCCCGCTCTTTTGTGGCGACTAGCTGACCTTTTTAAATAAACAAAACATCAGAAATAACCAAAACGTTTATGGTCAAGCAAAATGATTTTAACTTGGTTCTTAAAGAGTGCTACTAGGGTTAAAACGTTCGTCACAACACGTTGATTTTTGGTCGTGTTATTGTTGTTGTTGTTGTTCTTGTAGGTTAGTCATCAATCAATAAGGCAGCCAATTGTTCACTCATAGCAGTTGGTCAAAACTACCCCGTTCTGTGAAAATGGGAAATTCTTTCGTTGTTCCCTTCACGTTTTTTTTCCTCGTGGAGGTTTTTCAATAGTTGCTCAGTCTTGTAAACTCATCTCAGCTGGAAAAATCATGCATCAACCAAGTTTGGTTATCTAACTTGAAAAGTAAGTAAATCGAGTGGCAAAATTGCTTAACTTTTAATTTTCCACTGATTGTTCCCTGCCATGCATCAGGAACAAAGTTATAGTGTATACCATTGCCTTTAGAAGTCCATAACCAGAATTGGCTCGGTTTATTGGCTTTGTTTCTGAAGACTGCTTGAAAAGTAGAAAGATAATGCATATCGAAAAACAACATATGCTTTTGCTGGCCAGAGTCTTGCAGGCTTTTGTGCTGGAACATTTTCCAGTTCCCAATAACATCGTATTCTTGAGGAATAAGAATTTCGGGATGTGCGTCCAATATTGCTCCTGTAAGACTTTCTATGGTATGGGGGTATCCAATGAACATGACGAACGTTTTGACGTCATCGTACATTCGGTATAGTCTTTTAAGGCTCTCTGGTACACGTTCAGGATTACAGGAGCTCGTGTGGACTGTAAAAATTAAATAATAAAGGAACAGATATCAAGCTAAATCAACTTTCAAACGTTTTACTCTTCCAGGTTAAAGCCGTCCGAGTAATGTAGATCTCGTAAGTTTTGTTACTGTATTGAAAATCCAGTTTCCTACAAGAAAATAGCCTTGCAAAGCTCTTTTTTCTCAATTCTTAAAAGAAATCCTGACTTAATATCATAAAATATAGGTGTACTTTGCGAATGGGTTAATTGTAGTGCAATCTCTTGATAAAATGTACTCCATTCTTTCGTGGAAGGTGAATTCTTCCAAAGGATATTTCTTCTTGCTATTACTACCAAGATGGCGATTCCAAAGCAAGCAACGAGGGGTTTGAAAGAACACAAGCGAATTCCCGTCATGGTGTCGCAATAGGAATATTCTGTTAAGTGAAATGAAAAGAAAGGAGATTAGAAAAAAATGACAACAAAAGAACCGATGCGAATAATAAATCTATAAATCATTTCTGTTTACCATTTGCACAAACCAGTGACGAACCGGTTTCTCCGCGTAAAAGCTAAAACAACCATGTTTTAGTAGTGCCCATATTCGAAGATAAGACGAAAAAAATGTCTGGGTGCTTGAAAATATGAAATTTCCATCGTGCATGATACATCTAAGGTATTACCGAGTTTTGCTATCGATTAAGGCTGCATGTTGTGTCACAATACCCCTGGTCACATGGCCTGAGAATTATACATGCCATCGCAATTTAATCTGGGTCAGGCCAAGCGATAAAACACTAATGAATATCATCTACCACAACGTAAATCTTGTAAGGCTGTTATAACAAACTGTTAAGTTGGCGATTGAAGAAAAAAAACAAGCCGGGGCTGGGTTAGCCTGCGTTGCAGCCGGACGTGTCATAAAATCCCCGTTTTAGACTCTGCGGCGCAGGCTAGGGTTGGGTACATATCTGAACAAGCTGGGTATATATCTGAACCAAACAAAATCATAAATTATTCCTCTCGCATTCTTATTATTTTCATTTCTCTTCGGTTTACTACACCCACTGAATAAACAATGTCCCTTTTCCTTGAGCATAAAATGTTCCGAGTAGCGAATAGTTTTCAGGAAAAGTCACCTAAACATTTTTTTTCCAAAATATGTGACCTTTAACGACCAATCGTACGGGACTAAATTTCAACGCTTACATTATAAACGAGAATATTCAAATGTAGAGACTTTTGAAAAGGCACATAAATTACGTTGTTTACCGAACAAATCGTTGCCAACAACTGGACACATGGACTGAGGCAGACTTTTGAGAAGAATAACACCTCTGCTAAAACAATTGACCACTGAACGTAACTAATCGAGAAAGCGAAATTGTACATAGACTGTTTGAAAACGAAACATTAAATTAGAAAATTGAAAGACTCGGTGAATTTCGCTTAATGATCCAGAAACATCACGTCCGTGAAATAGATTAAGGTAAATATGTGGACAGCTTGCGTCTGCAGAACGCAAGCTGAACCACACTCCACTTTTCTCACAAACGCAAGCCGGCCATACAATTTCTCTAGTCTATTTAACGGACCTAAATTCATTCAAATTTAAGCCCGCTGAACGCAGATAAAATAATCTGACAGATCCATCTTATGTTCTTTGTTCTCAGTGGACACGCGAATTATTTAACTTTCTGTAAGAATATTTAAGTGTACAAGACGAAACTCAGACACGAATAAACCAACGAAACCACCTTGCCTTTGAACGCTTGGACGTAATGTTCGTGAACACTCTTTGCAAAATGATCTAAAGGAAATAGTTTATCATAATTTTAACCCCAATGCAAAGAAACCCGAAATAACTGAGGAACAAATCTTGTGAAGCTGTGCACTATCCGGTAACAAGAAATAAACACGATAGGAATATTACACGCAGAACTACACTTTAACGACCAAAGCGGTTGCAAAGTAATGAAAAAATGTACTTACCACTTTCTCCGACGAGAAAATTGAAAGACCGAAATATGTAAGCTTTCGGCGACACTTAATGAGCCAGAGTAATCAATTTTTACACGATAAGAAACCATGTTTCTAGGATACTGTAAATAGCGTTGAAGCATGCATTCAGTCAAATAAGCTCCCATTGTGCTTCTCTTTTACAAAGGACAATGCTAAGAAAAAACTGTGGCTTGTTTTACTTCCGCCTTCCACAAACCAAAATCGGCCTATTTTAATTTAACGTAGGATCTAGTAAAATTTGATACTTTGTTTAAGAAATTTATGGTATAAATCGCGTTTAAAGTGATAAACACATTTGCCAAGTCACTCCAAACGCGGTCTATGTGGTTCTTGGTTCAATTTCAAATAAAGCCTTTGAGCCATGGCTTAGTGGTCAACATGGTCGAACATGAGCTGGTACGCTTCACTTGGATGGATTGTAAAATAGAAAACTTGAGTCTATAAGGCCCAATGGCCAAATGCTTTTAGGGACATAATTCAACCTAAGCTATGAGCGTGTCTTATTGCATGCAGAATATCTTCTGTTTTGTGCAATTGACAAGTTTGTGGTAACGACCGCATTGACTCATTGAGATGCCAGAAAGACTATAAACAATAGGCTCGCCTCCTGTCATGTTCGACGTTTTACCCCGACTTACTGATTTCCTCATGATCAGTCATAAACCAGTTTTACTTCATTTAAAACTATTCTGCTCTCCTTCGTTACTCATTCGAAGCATGAAATCAACACGACGACACGAACAATCTGTTCCTTTTCCTTACTTATCAGATTGCAGATAAAGCTTAGGCTAGAAAATTAAGAATTAGGCTCGATTCTCAAGCGGAATTTCGGTGAGCCGCAGTTCAAATTAACGAACTGAAAATCCCTACCCAGCTCGAAATAGACTCCGCCTCAGTCAGCACGTGATCATATCCTTAACAACAGTGATTATAGGCAATTGGTTTACTGCTAAGGGTAGACCTCGTATTCTGAGGCCATGATGCGAGTTAAAGCAGGTTCTTTGAGGATGTTAAATAAAATACACACGTATATCGAGTATCGATCAATGTGCCACTGAACCAGTGGACCTTTTATTTACGAAAGAAGTGTTCTTGTCATCAATGACGATTACAAAACGAATGAAGAACAATAACTTTACTCTTAACAATTAGAATCTATATACAAACAACAGTAAGGAGCTCTTCTTTATAAAAATGTAGGACATATCTCATCCAAGAGAATAAATGTTGCTGATATCATGGGGGTTTGAATTGTCGCGTTAAAGAGTTCAACCTATAAATAAAACAACATGGAGGTTACCCAGAGATATATTTCTATAAACGATTTAATGTACTGCTGCTAAACTTCTAAACTTCTGAAAGTCAATCAGCATTCCCTTGATAGAAAATACGGAGCAACGACGATCACGACCCCGAGGCTAACGCCAAGTGATTTTACTCACAAATATCGCATTATATCTAAATTTGTTCAGTGGGTATACAGGCTTCAGAGTTAGCTCCAGCTAAATGTGTGAAGAAAGCGTTCAAATTTAAAACGAAATTGCAAAAAAGTGCTTTCGTTGTCCACATTCGTTTGCCGTCGTGGTTTGTTTAAGCTCCCTAATTAGTGAATTGAACTGATTATTCCCCACTTCACCGAGATTCACAGATATTTTTTATTATGTTTGGTGCTTTAATCCCCTTTGGAATACGGGGGTGGTCAAATTGTCACTTTTTGCTTCGGAGGTTGTCAGATCCGTTTCCACTTATAATGCTGGATCTTATGAGAAAATTCAAAGCTTTTGATTCTTGAATGATTGTCGCTGAATTAACAAGACAACACCATTGTACAGGAAAGATAATGATATACTTGTCATCGAAGCATCTACCTGAAAGAATACCTTTAATCTCCCAACTTAATTTTTAACTTTAAAAGAAATAAATGGGCATGGTGAAAAATATTTTTCTTTTGATGGGAAAAAAGTCTTTCTTGGACACTGTGTTAGGTGGTGAGAATTTGCTAAATGTAAGCGCATTTTATAACGTACCTCTCTCGGAGAATGTCATTTTGCCATTTACGGTCATTTGCCACTTGCTAAAAGATAAAAAGATAAAAAGATAGTAGTGGTTGAAAAAATGCAATATCAAATGGACAATCATATCACGCTTACATGGAATTTGATCCAAAGGAATATTGTTTTTCCATACGTGAAAACCATTTGCCAATTATTATACTTACCAAATACACATCAGTCTGTAGTCTCACTTTGTTTAGCTAAATTTAAAAAAGATTCAACATAAATATGAGCAATTTATAACAAGTATCAAAATAATGGAAATTTAGGATCAATAAAGGACTCGTCATTACTATTCTACCCTTGAAATTGAAATACTCCTGTAGCTTCATGATACAAGTGATAATCCCTGATTTCTGATAAACATTACAGTTTTAAAGAATTGCAAGGGCTTAACTGAGGCCCTGTTAGGGGGGGG